GGAAGGAGACTCCACTACTCTCCAAGGGAGTTAGCTCCTCCATGGTCATTATATCTGTTTTCTTTATGTTCAGCAGTAACCCTGCCTTTGCACTTTCTTCCTTGACCTTCCTTAGTAGTTTCAAACAAAAATCCATCAGTGATACCTTTGTGTATCCGCCAGTGATACCTTTTTTAGTAGTTGTTCCAGATCACAATGTTTTCTGCTAGTAGTATGGTGTCATCTGCATATCTTAGATGGTTGATGTTCCTTCCTCCTATCTTCACTCCTCCTTCTTCTAAGTCCAAACCTGTTCTTCGTATTATATTTTCTGCATACAAGTTGACCAGATAGGGTGATAAAAGCCAGCCTTGCCTGGTCCCTTTGCCAGTTGGGAACCATTCTTTTTCTCCATATTCTGTTCTGATAGTAGCCTCTTGTCCCGAGTGCAGATTTCTCATCAGGACCATCAGATATAGTGGCACTCCCATGTCTTTGAGAGCCTTCCATCATTTTTCATGGTTCATGGTCCATGCAGTCAAATGCTTTGCTGTAGTCTATAAAGCACATACTGATTTCCACCCCTCCGTAATTCCTCGGCCCATGCCACTTTCAATATATTGGCAAGCAGAGGCTTCAGGCGTGTGATATGAAGTCTGACCTTTCAAAGTTGAGGAGGACACACCAGCAGAGCGGTGACGTCAAGTGTTTCCTTCTTGTATACAAAGCAACCCTAAAATTTGCAAAAAAGTTCATTATAGTTTTTATAGCAAACCTGGCAAACCATGTTGTGACGTTTATTGTGATCACTCCCATAGCAACCCGGTAAATAGATCTCAGTTAAATTCACATTTGGCATCGAAAGACTGAGGTGTGCGGGAGGTGGAGTGACAGTTATTTGCCTCTAGGACAAAAATCTGAAGAAGAGAGAGCAGATACCATCAGCCTTAGGCATCCAGGAACATATCCCAGTTTTTAGCCACTGAAGTGCATTTGCTTAGCTCTTAAAATATAGGTTCAGGTGATGGAGAAGATCCATTGTTTGGTACTGGAAAGACCGATCTTTGGCCTCATCAATAGTGAAAGATTATGGGATTTGTAGCCTGAAACAGCTACGCAGCAAAGATTTTGTTGTTGGGTGTCTTCAAGTCATTTCCAATTTGTGGAGAGCCTAAGGGACCTTATCACAGGATTTTCTTGGCAAGATTTGTTCAGAGCTGAGTTGCCTTTGCCTCCCTCTGAGGCTGAGAGAGTGTGACTTGCCCAAGGTCACCCAGTAGGTTTCCCTGACAGAGTACGAATTCAAACTCTGGCCTCCAATGCTTAAACCACTACCCTGCTGCTTCTCACATATGTATATTATTGTTGTTATTGATGTGTATTGTCAAGTTATTTTTGACTTCTGGCAATCCTATCATAGGATTTTCTTGGCAAGATTTCTTCGGGGTGGTGGGGGTGGTGCCATTGCCTTCCCCTGAGGCTGAGAGCATGTGACTTGCCCAAGGTAATCCAGTGGGCTTCATGCCAGAGTGGGGACTTGAACCCTAGTCTCTAGAGTTGTAGCCCAACTCTCCAACCACTACGACACATTGGCTCCATACATCCACCAAGGAAGACTTTGCATTTGGCACTAAATCCAACATACTGGGCATTTAATATTTCAGAACAAAGCAACTTCCCAGTCCTTACGACTGCAAGGAAGAACTATGCAGGCAGTATATTTGCAAGAGGAGATTTTATTGGCCTGTTCTGTGTTGTTGTTGTTGTTGTTGTGTACCTTCAAGTCATTTCTGACTTATGGCAACTCTAAGGTGAACACTTTGTTGTTGTAACTGCCTTTGAGTCGATCTCGACCCATGGAGACCCTATGGATGAGACATCTCCCAAGACCCCCTGTCCCCCCCTGCTCTGCTTCATTCCTGCAAGATCTTCATCAATCCCCATTGGGA